GAGCGAGAGCGAGAGAGACAGAGGGACAGAGAGACAGAGAGACAGAGAGACAGAGAGACAGAGAGACAAAGAGACAGAGACAGAGGCGGAGACGGAGAGAGTGCGAGTGGGGGTCGGAAAGCCCTTGCACAAACGAGGGGTTGGAAAACCCAACGTTCGCATAGGGTGGAAAGCCCTGCATGAATCAAAGAAACTGTGACGGTTTGTACTGTCTTCTCCGTCGCAACAGCTGAAGCTCGCGAAAGCTGAAGGTGGGAAGAAAGGGTAAGGAAAAATTGGTGAGCCCGGTGGTGGCAAAGCTGCAGGCACACGTGGTATGACTATGACTTGCGCCGAGCGGCTTTCAGCTACTGGCTCGAAGGCTGACGGCCTCATGCACGAGTCGGTGCAAGGTTAACATCCCTTTGAAGCATCACTTTATGATGGGTTGGAAGGGGCTGAAATGTACAAAAGCTTTGGACTTCCGCTTAAATCAAACTGGCGCACAGAAAGGCCCCCGGCAATCTACTCGCAACTTCATGGATGCTGGGTTGCATTGTACCTTCAGCTCGACAACTTAAACCAAACGGAAAACCCGAACCCCCAAGCCCCAACAGCAACTTTCAGGAATTGGCTTACTACAACATGGACACCAACCAAAGATCCTGTGAGTACTGGTTTGGATGAGACGTGGCCAAACTTTAGAAAGGGGTTGGCAAGCCCAGAAAAAGAGATACATGTTCGAACATGACAATTACAGTACATTTTGGAAATGCCAGAGAATCCCGGAATCCCGAGCCTTATCCAGCATCGGAAAGCTCCAACAAAAACTCCTCATGTGCTTTGCTGGCCCGCCTACAGTAGGGTTGTTGAACAATACCAACAACGGTGGACGCCCAAGGGTCCGACCTCAAAGAGCGGTGGTCCGCCCCAACGCTAGTTCGTCTTGAATGAAATTGGCCAGAAGAAAGGTTGGATAAAGCCCAGTCTCAGTTTCGGGACCCTTAAACCCTAAAACCCCAAACCCGAGACTCGAAACCCAGCGGACGTCTGGACACGCAGTGGACCGTCGCAACGGCAGCGGACCCCTGCTTGTACTTAGACTGGATTTCTTTCATATGAGGGTTTAGAAGCTGTGTTTGAAGATTTGTTGAAGGTTTGAGATCGAGCGTCACCTTTTTCACGCCCCACAGGGTGGATCCACGGCGCCGGCATCCGCATACACGACCGCACGCCAGGCGGCCCGCAGATCGATCGGCGTCGTGGTCGTTTCCCCCCGCGAGGCCATGGCAATCTAGTCCAGCGAACTGAAAAAACGAAAAGATTCCCTCGCAGCGCACTCGGGCCTGCACCGCTGCGAACAGGCAGCTGGATTTCTTCGATGTCAGGCAGTTCTCTTTACACACACTTGTCACTACGAACACGCTTGTTCTGCACGAAAAAAACCGTGATTATCGAAACATGATTTATGTTGAAATGCACTTTGCTCAACTTTGCTCAATGCTTGATTTTGCCGCACGCCGAACGCTCGAAAGAAAACAGTTCTACTAATTCCCAAGAAAACAAAATGCGCTTGTACAAACAATGGCCATTGATATTTTTCAATATGGGCGCCCGTGCTGCAGGACCCTGCCGGCCAATGTCAGGCTCTATCCCATGCCGCTACCCAGCCGTATGCAGAAGGTACGTCGCAGTAGCCGTGCCAGATGCCGAAGCAGCCGTGGGCGCTCACGCTGCAGCCGTACCGCCATCACCGACATTGGTGCACCCTCAAGATGTCGACAAACTCGGACAGTGCCGAAAGTTCAGCTCGAGGAGGAGGTTGCGCCAAGATTCATGCTGGCCGCTGCAAGCCGCATGCCCTGCAGTAACAAGCACCAGACAGTCTTCGACCAAGCCGTCACAGCATCCAACGGGACAGTTGTTGATGTTGTTTGCTGCATGTTTCTCTTGGGCTCAGAAGTGCTTTCAGCAAGCAAGATCTCGCGACATATTATATCCATGACACACACTCGAAGCGCCCGCACAGGATATTCCAGCGGGAGGCCCCACCCCAATCCCTCCTGCTACGGACTTCGCAGCCGGGTTCCCCAGACCGCTGTTGAATCATGTGCTTTTGAATGCTTCACGTGTCTTGGTGGCGGTGAACCTTGTGTTCGTGACAACCGCCCCCGGTTCGCTTCTGACCCATACTCGATGCATGAGAAGCAGGCCGTCGAAAAGCCCACGGAAGCCAAGAGTCCTCCACTACAAAGTTGGAGTAGAGGGAGAACGGGATGGTGATGGGCTTTTCCACCTGGATGAAGAAACACCACTTGAGGAGTTGCTGTCTCTGAGCATTGGGGGAGCCGGACCCACTGCAGTAGGAAGAGCCAGAAGAGGGTGCAGCTGTACTCCGCCTTACATGACCGCCTGCCATACCTTTTGCGCTATCAGAGACCCTATCAGAGATCCGCCTCCTCACCAAAGACCGCGACCTAACAGGCTTGCTGTGTCTCTCACGACTATGGCATGCACACAGTTAAGTATGACACTGCATAGTGCCACAGCCAAGGAGTAATCAGAAAGAGCTGCACCTGCACACCGTTCTGCTTGGCTTCTGAGCCTTTTGCAGTGGTGACATGTGTCCATCGATGATTGCCTTATCATAGATGAAGCTAACCCAGTCTTTCACAAAGCCAAAGAGGCGCTTGTCCTTCTGGTATACCTGCGGTCCATGATAGAAGGGGCGTTTAAACCGACCTCTCCCCTCCTGTCCTGTGATTCCAGGAACTTCGACTCATCAACAACACCTGTCCCGAAATCACCATCTTCTGACCACTCCACCGTACCACCTGGCCTTGGAATTCCGCTGGCACCGTGGTCTCCCTGTTCCTTTACATTCCGTGGATGATTTCCTCCACTTTGACACCTGAATAAATGAGACCCCGGCTTTTGCAGCTGCCTCCACTCAAGATATTGCTCGAAGAAGTGAAGGACCTCATGAGGAAAGTCGTCAAGTCGCTAGACCCTACTCTGGCGGTCTGAGCTTGGAATCCTGCAGAAGAAAACGCCAAGAAAGCCCAGACGAAGGGCCTGATTGAAGCTGATGATTTTCGAGCTCTCAAAAACGCAAACAAGACTTGCAGAAAAGGAAGGCATCAATTCAAGCTGAGCTCACCCTCCCACCGAAGGGAAAGCCTCGGTCAATGGGCAGTGGTCAGCCGACTGAGATTCTTGTTCTCCTATTAAGGAGAAGGCCATTCTTCGCGGCTTCCCCAACAGCCGCGAATGAACTACATAACTGGAGCCGAAAGTTGAAGATTCACACATCCGAAGAAAACAAGCTGCATGCTCGGACTTTGAAGCTGTGCGCTACCAGTATGAGTCACTCTGCTTAACGAGCCGCTTGCCGCGGGCAAGCGACAGTCTGGCCAAGAGTCTGGTCAAGAAAATCTCAACACAAGGTACATTGAGGCAAAGATAAGCACCAAAAATTCACAGCGTACAACAGCTGCAGGCTGTACTGCTGTCATTGTACCAGCAGACGCATAGTTTAAAGCACTAAGCATGCGTCTTCTTCTGTCTGAGCATGTTGGCATCGGCGTGCCCGCCGAGCAACCATACATTGAAAATGATGCGATTGATTAAAACTTCTGGCCTGGTGTACCTCTGAAGCGACGTGAACGCCAAAAGCTCTGCCGTCACTCGCTCACACTTGCATGCAATGAGGTGCTCAAGTTCCAGAGAACCTGATGTCTCATGCGCTGTGCATAGCATGGCAATGCTTGCGCTTGCATAGCCTGGAGGCTTCTGGTGTTCGTTGCATTCCCTCAAACCTCCCCTGGAACAAACAGTCAAACCGCTGGTTCAATGTCAGCTCAAGCACAGTATAGCACAGTGAACGTGCAGTCATCTCCAAGATAACGACTCTTCATTCATGCTTACCTATGATGACAATATCTCGCATCTCTCTCAAGATGCGCTTCGCTTGACCGTCCAGCTTCCCTTTGCAGCGAAGGATCTGTTGTCATCTCAGCTTGCCCCTTCGGAAGGTATCGTCCATCGACTTTCCGCATCACTCACTCAAGGCTGATGCGGGCACGAATCTTTTTTGCGGACGAGACAGATGTATCAAGCAATTCAACATCCGAGATATTTCTCTGGATGTTTATCGTGTCGGTTCGTCCAGATCTACCACAGGAAGCTTAACGATTGCTGGTGCGACCTGGCAAAGGTTTAGCCACCCAGCAACCGCCACATGTTGACACGGCCATGAAATCGCGAGACAGGTACTTTGACCAGAGTTCGCGCATCTCGGATTTTCCAGATGTCTTCCATGACAGAGTTGCTCCTGTGAAGAGCCCGTACATTATCCAAGCATGGCTTCCCATACCCACAAATCCCCCCGAAACACCCGGCTTCAGACGTCATGACATTGTCAACCCTGGCGAGGATTGTGAATGTTAGGAGAGCCAGCGCGACATCCCAATCTGGGCTCCCCCTAGCCCTCACAATGCTTGCCGGGTCCGGAGGCCCTGCTCATGGGAAAGTCAGAGGTGCAGCAAACGACTCATGAAAAGGCCTGGGTGAGGGAGTTCCGGCAGCCATTGATCTCAGCACACAACACGACTTCGCACAGCACAGCGCGTAGTCGCACGTTGATTTTTGTTCAGTAGGAGGGGCAGGTCTTGCTGGCTTTCCATGAAAGGAAGTTGAGTCTTCTGACTTCTGCATATCATCTCCGTGTTACAGACAACTGGTCGGAGCCTCCTTGCAGCCAACTTTCTGAACTAGCGTGACCATAATGATTGGAGACCTATTCTCTTGATCAACACTCATCTGCGTTGTCTTTATCTCACCCACTGTCTGCTTTTATTTGACTACTGCTGCTGTCACATTGCATGCTTTCGCATCGTGGACATGGGCTTGGATGCAAGATTATCATTGGCAGCTGCAGGACAGTCGACATCGAAATTCAGACAAAGAAATGCGCGAACTCAGAACTTGCAACGGGGCCCGAGTCGGAAGAATGTCGGCACACACTGGACTTCTGAGGCTGCCGCAGGCGCCTTCGTGGGCCTAAGGCTAGCACTCTATGGTGACCACCCTCAAGACATATCGACCGACCGTGGACCCCGGCAATGTGCGACTCGCTGTCAGCACGTGCCACGGCTGCACGACACTCGGGCGTGCAGGCGATGCTGCTGGGTGGGCTTGTGCCAAGGGGATCCCAGCCTCAGTAAAGACTTGAAGAGGCAAAGGTGGCAAGGACCGAAAAGAAATGAGGAGAAGATAGAGTCTGAAGACTTTGCGAAGACAGTGAAAGCACACTGGGAAGACGAATGGCCGAGATCTCGGCGGAGAGCTGGCACCTCGCGGAGTCGGCTCCTGGAATCTCGCGGTAACCTGCCGGCAGAGAAGCCGTCGGCCTGCGCACGCAGCGGCTTAGCAGCAGCTTCTCTCGTTTTCCGCAGGGAGCAAGGCTCAGCAAAGTGCGGAAAGCAATTGGGTTCAAATCAAAGTACGAACAGCAGAACCACTCGACGAAAGGGCGGAAAGGCGGAAGTCTTTCGGCCCTTCCGAAGCAAAGTGCATCAGAAACTAAGGCAACTAAGATCAGCGGTGCAGCCTTGTGCCGCCAGAAGGGCCGAATGGAAGACCTGGAACTCTGTCACACTGCTCAGATGCTACCACCGTTGAGAGTGGAAAGATCAAAGGTCGTGGCTGTGGCTCAGCAGATTCTCTGTCGATGTCGTTGGCGATTTGTCCCACGAAACCCTCAGTTCCAGCTTCTTCACTCCAAGGCTCCGAGTCGAGAATTTCACTGGGGGCGAGGACGGTGCAAAAGCCCGCGGCCTGCACCAAACGCGGCACACACAGCGGCAGCACAGCGCAGCAGTCGGTAGCACACGCTCCTTGAGGAGCGTCCATGTCCGGTTCCGTGCCCGCTGAGGCCAAGGCTGGCCAGCCCCGACCTCCCGCCGAGATCTCTCGAGGCTCTCACTGAGGCTCTCTGTGGGACGTCCCCCCGTCAGCTTCGGGCCCAGCCACGGCCCGTTCTGGCGAGACCTGTCTTTCTGAAAGGACCGGGCTTGGAGGTGTTTTTGTTCTTCCTCTTGCCTGGCTTCTCCTAGGTGAGAAAAACTTCCCGTCGTGCAGCCATAGTATGTTAGCTATTTACACTGGGCATGGCGGCCTGGCTTGGCTTCAGCGGAATGGGGAGTTGAGTGGGGAAGGAGTTGGCTTGGCTCGCCCCGGCTCCTGCCGGGCTGGGAAGGTCCAACTTGCCCCCGAACTGCATGCACGCCTCTAAACAAAAGACATCCTGCCTGAGTACACCCAAACCGAGTAATCTCCCTCTCGGAAGTCCTGAACGGCTTGGACTGGTTTGGCATGTCTTGCCCGAGTTTCTGTCGTTATATACTACTACCACTACTGATATCCCCATTAGACTATTGCTACGGTCCTCGCTCAAAGACTCCCAATGATGAAAAAACAGCAGACATGGTCGTTGATTATAACCTGCTGGGCGAGCACCTTAGAAAAACATCTTGAACGGCTCGGTACCGAAGCTTGTGAACCTAGAATCTAGGAATAATCGTGGAAACCAGCACTAAGTTCATGCATCACATCCTTTCTGGATGCAATATGCCGTTGTTCTTCCTTCCCTCCCTCCCGCTCTCCCTGACGCCTTCCTGCCTTCCTGCCCTCCTGCCTTCCTTCCTGCCTGCCTGTCTCCTTTCTTCCGTTATGTCTTGCTTTTTGGGCAGGGCCTCGTAAGGTGAAAAGTGCCTGCTTCGTTTCTTTCCTGCCTCCTTCGCTTCTGTGGCTTCCATGCAGAAGCCCACCGAATCCACAACATGAGAAAACAGCCAAACGAAGACATACACACAAATTTGGGCCCTGCTGTCTCTAGCTGACACGTCCATCCAGCTTGCACGATTGCTCAGGATCTAGCAGGACGGTCGGGAGCGAGTCCGGGCCCGCGTGGTGAAAGTGCCAATGGGCACGCCCTGATTTCATGACAACTGGACAGTGCTCCCAATGACGTCACGAGCAGTGGGCCAACCTCGACACCTCCTGAAGAGCACCATCCTGCCAATATGATGTTGGTAAGAGCCACCCCAGGCAGCTGCATACTGGAGTTTAGCCTCTGTTGTTTGACAGGTGTTTTTGCCACATCCGTCCTCCTCTTGCAGTCGTCCAAGAGGACCTGCATGCAAGCCGGACACCGCCAACAACAACTTGCTAGTAACTGGACTTGGTACACAAGTGGGCCAATCGAGAATAGTGCTCTGCCGCACGAAGCTTTCTGCATTCCATGATTGATCAAGGTCAAAGGTGCTGACAACAGCCCCTACAGATTCTTCGCTGGTGATGAGCGCAGGCCTCATGACGGCAACAACGAGAATAACATTGCCGACTTACCGAAGCAGTTCAGCTTCATCACATGAGTGTTCCGCAATCATGGGCATCTTAAACTTGCATTTCTTCTGAGGAGAAGTGCAATGAAAGTGCGGAGGGCGCGTATTTGCGCCTACCGATCCACCTTGCAAAGAGAACACTTAGAGATTCTCCCTGCGATGGCGGCAGTCGTGCACCTACCCTGCTGTTTAGCTGGGCTACTCAAGCTATATGAGTGACAATCAAGCTATATCAAGCTCCTTTGGCCAGGACATGTGGCAATCCATCTTTCACTGCGCACCTAGGCTGACTGCATGCGCCACCACATGTACTAATACGATTGACCTGACCTACTTGGCAAGCTGCTGCCTCGCATCATCTGTCTCTTCTCCTGCACTTGCTGCCAATACTCAGCTTTCCAATGTTAAGAATTTGCACGAGGTCACACATGGCTATGCCCTCTGCAATCAAGATGTACCAGGAACAGGAAGCTTCGAATGAACAGCACTGTGTGAAACAGTGTGGCGCGAGATGTAGATGTACCATCTGTTTACAGTAGCGTGTCACAACCTCAAATTGGGCCAACGCCTTCTGGCGGCGCTTCTTCTCGCCCGGCTCGCATAGGTGGCAGAACTTGCACACGGCCCCGTTGTCGCACCCCTCCACACAACACGGCATGCAGTAAAGCTTGCATTATCCCACAACTGATCGACTGCGTCTTCACAAGTCCAACCTTCGTGTGGAGAAACGCACAAGGCTTGCCTGCCAATTGCATCTTGCACCGTCAGCTTGAAGTAGACAGGAATGGCATGGCATGACCAGTGACAAATGGGGAGACTCCAATGCTTTCGCTGGGCTGGGCTTCTCTGCCCCACGGATGAATCTCAGGGCATCGCCGTATTGCAACGTCCCACTGTGTCTGAGCACAAGCAAAAGAAGTTACCAGCCGGAGCACGAAAGCCACAGCACGGATATCGTGCGAGTGCGATAACTCATCCACGTGACGCCTTCTTGCAATCGCGTATTCTTCTTTCTGATGCTGCTTGATGACTTCCAGTTACATCCATTTGGTGCAATCGCTTCCGTGCTGAAAGCTATATACCTGCGACATAATGATCCAAGGAAGAAGCAACATCTCCCACTACCAATGCAAGATATACAGACACAGGCATGAACATATTACAGACTAGATCTGTAGATGTGGATAAGGATGCAGAGAAGAATAGAGACCTGAATACTTCTCTGAATATTTGGGGATGGACATGGACATGGGCGAGAACATGGGAATGTAGACAGTAACATAGATACACATGCAGATACAGACGTATACGTGGATGTGGAGATAGAGATCGACACAGAGATAGATACAGGCATAGATAGAGATAGAGATGCGAATAGGAATAGTGGCAAAGGGAGACTGAGAGAGAGAGAGAGAGAGATGCAAATAGAGATAAAGATACAGCGACAAATACAGATACATAGGTACAAGAACAAGCATAAACCTAAACAAGTACAATTCTGAACTTCAACATGAATACAAATATGAAATGAATATAAGCACCAGTAAACCAAGTATAACCACAGATGTTACTTGCAAAATACGAACAAAAAAAAAAAAACACCACCCGGGCCCCCAGATTTTGCGGCTGGTTCCCGTTTTGCTCATATTCTCCATCTCAACAGCAACATCTCTATTTCTAGAGAAGACTCGCTATGTCCTTCTACGATCAGGATAGCCTCTGTACTGCTGAACGAGAACAGCAAAGCCTGCTTGTTTGTTCATCGCAAACCGAGAAGTTACTCTGTTACTCTGACCGATCCCTCACACCTTAGCAGAAAAACACACATGAACTATTGGCAGATTCCAAAACTTACACTGAAACTAAAGCACTTCATATGATGTGAACGATCTTGTCTCTCTGTGGACAGAAGCTCAAGAGCGAGCTCAAGGGAGCTGGCCCATCTTGTTTGAGCTCTTCGAATGTCGACCATGCTGAATAAGTGTCTGACTTCACGCCCTGTGCTTTGACCAAGGTTCATTGCGTTGACAATCAGAGACGGACAGTTCGGCTCCGGAAATTAAGATCTGACGATCACCAAGACAGCTGGAAGGGGGGGCGCTGATCGTTCCTTGTCGGGGAGACGGTTTGATGTTTTGCATATCTGGATGCTGGAAACTCCTGAGCTTCCCTTGACTTGCTGCTCGCGCTTTGAGTAATGCATGCACATCATCGCTTCCATTGCAGTTCTGCCCAGGTACATTGGCCCACGGCATGCCCTTGCGATCCAATGCTGGGAAGTTCGAACGATCCCGGCGCGGGCCCGACCTCACAACTTGAAAAGTCAAGGCAAGCAACTCTGAAGGCTCGATGAGGGAGTGGCAGGAGCTGGCACTGTCACAAGTGGGCTAGTGGCCAAAGGCCCCTTGGCGGGATGGTCATGACTGCGCAAGCTGGGCAGACAGCTTGGCTTCCGAACCACAGGGTATGAGTCCACTTGCGGCTTGGTCCTTGTGAGCCTTGGCTTCAAGCAAGTCAAGGCAAAACAAGGTCCAGAAAATAAGCAGCCAAGTGCAGTGCCACGGCTCCCCGTATGGCTTTCGGACATGTGTGGACGGAATGCATGGAACCGGCACCTGGCCGAGCGCCGCTGAAGCCATGCAAACCAGAACTCTTTGCGTGCCTGGGGTACCATCTCTGGAGGTCGGCATCCTAAGCTTGTCGGTACCGGCGGTACCGGATGTCCCTGGCATCCTGGACGGTCAAAGCGGTCGAAGCGGTCACGGTCGAAGCGCTCAAGGCGAGGCTGCCAAGTTTCACCTTTCGGGCACAGCGGGCAGCCGAACCAGAGCGAACCCTAGCATTGCATGTCTCAAACGCCTTGAGAAGGGTGCCAAATGCCTCCCCAGCACGGTGGCGTTTTTACATCTTGGACCTGCATGATTTAATTTCAGGACTCCAAATCCGGACAAACGGGCTTCAAGCTGCAGTGCGGACCTTCGTTTCGGTCTTCGAAGTGCTGTACATTCCGTGAATGAAGGGGCTTGGCACCGCCGCTGCAGGCGTCGGGCTTGGAGGATTTAAGTTGACCAGGCCAAGTCGTGCTGCAGGAGCACTGTCAGGAGGTCCATTCGACGTGCCTTGGCATCCTTGGTGGCAGTGAACGAATGACAAAAGCAAGAGGGCACCGCATTCGCTCACGGCGACGTCGCCTGCCGACAGATCTGCCCAAGGCGTCCTTTGCGTTCGTCCACAGCCATCATAGCCGTCGTAGCTGTTGCCGGCCAGTGGTTCTGGATTGCCTCGCGATGAGGGACACCTGTAATGTACGAGACAGCACTCGGATGGGAAGCAGGCCTGGCAAAACATCAACCAGGCGCAGAACTGGCTTTGATGGAGGGCACTCTACCTCAGGTTGCAGATGTATCTCCACGATTAGCAGCGAGATGTGTCGGACTGTCGGATGCGAAACAGCTTTGAGCCGTGCGGTCTCTTTCAGCGGTCCGACTGGGCTCTTGCAAGGAGTGGAGAACCCTCAGGATCCAGGAATGTTTCCAGAACACTCAGGAAAACCCCCTGCCTTCTCGCCAAAGCTGGTGTATCCGACCAGCATGCCTCCAGCACACTTGAGCATCACGACTGGCAGAGTCTCCAGGATTCCAAGTTCCTTCCCGTGGCATTTCCGAGGCTACTGCCTGGCCGGCGCAGATTGTGCCGTTTGTTCCGAGAGCTGCTCATCATCGCCCACATCTATGAAGGTGTTGCGAACTCGAAGCGGAAGGGGAAATGATTCCTCCGACAGGAAGATGAAGACACACTTTTAGACACAACGTCTGCCAGCAGCTCCGATGCCTCCAGCTCGGAAGGAATGGAGATCTCCAGATCTTTGCCTCTTGACAGTTTGTCTCGTCCACAAGGTCCGAGAGGTCCACGTGACGTCAAGAGAGTGGGCAGGTTCGGCGGGTCGGAATACCTCGACACTGGGGACCGTGCCGGACTGCGGCTGTCAAAGCTTACACAGCCATTAACACGAAAACAACATTTTGGACTCTTGACTCTGCTAGACGTCTTTCTGAACTGAGTGTCATTGGCAGCAGATGGCTTTCGAGGCAGCGTGGATTGCACTCAGGACTTCCCTACTGGCTATGAGCCAAACTGCATCGCACAGCAGTCAAGACGCTGTCAAGAAAAGAAAACACTGCACCAACTGCGCGAAACACGGTGCCATGCCATGCCTTGCCAGAAATCACGTGCCTGCACAGAATACTCGCCAAAGCCAAGTGGCCAAAATCCCCCNNCCCCCCCCCCCCCCCCCCCGCGGCACACACCGAGGCCTCGGCAACGCGTGCGCTCGTCGGTTGCAAGCTCTCTTGCGTGCGCTGCTTGTCAAGATTTCCTCGGCCATGCACGGCGCCATTGATCACTCTCTTGCCGACACCTTTAGAGCCAGGCCTGGCGGTCTAGTCTCACCGACTTTCTCGCCAGACTCGAGGGCCCCCAGGACCTTTCCAGTTCTGCTGCGGACTGCGCTTCGATGCCTCTCCCTGCGGAACTGGCCTGCTGAACCGCGTTTGTAATTCCCTGCAGCTTGTCTTTGACACCCTGCCGAAGATTGTCTGGGCCTTCACCCTGGCTTTTCCTGCCCGGAGCTGGCTGGGCACTGGCTTTGGAGCCTCTGGTGGGTGCTCCGACGGTCCTCTCGTCCTGTGCGACCCAGCTGGGCTTTACCTCAGCTTCGAAGAAAACACAATCCGTAGTGTCGCCACAAATGCCCAGATCACGAAACCAACTTTGACAAACTCAGACTCCATCCTCGGAGGAAGATGTTTCAGCCACATGCCTGTCACAAAGCGAGGTGCGCGTGCGAGGCGCATTCTATGCCTTCACTGCCTGGTGGCTCCCATGATCCCCGTTTCGGTGGACCTTGGCGGCAGAAAACTTCTCTCTGCAAGTGAAAGAAGCTAAAACATCCAAAGCTGCAGGCTCCATGAGGTCCTCTGCCTCGGAGGATATAAACTTTCCGAACTGACTGCAGGCGACGGCACAGGCCAGCCATGAGCGAGCCTGGGTGCCGCCCATCTTTGCCTGCATGTTGCGCTCCAAGAGCCAAGTCACACAAGACTCAGTGATCCCCCAAGACTTTCCCAAGCCTCCAAGGAAGCGACGCGGGGTTCCACCCGTGCTAGGATGAGCTGAGACAGCTCCACCTCTAGAGTCGACCGGACAAGAAGGTCACAACAAAAGCACCGCTACAGCTTGAGCTGCTGGGTTGTTTCAACCAAGCCCCACAAAGCCCCTGCACCTCCGAACGCTGAATGCCCGCAATGGCGGACTTGGCCACACGTTCGGTGAGACTGCCAAGGTCTCCAATCGCTTGATCATGTTCCTGCCATGCGCTCAAAACGTTGCTTTAACTTTGAATCTGCGGATGAGCCGTACCAATGTGCCTGCCTCCCGGATCGTTGCGACTTCCTTGGCCTGGACTTGGGGAGAAGCTGTGAGGAATCGCTTATCGTTTGAAGGAGGCCGGTGCCAAGCGCAGAATGTCGTTTGTTGATGACAAAAGCGATGCCCGGATTTCGCCTGCGCAAGGTCGATACGCACATTTTCTACATTATCGCCATAGCAACAAACAGCATCAAGGTCGGCGAAGGCACCCAGGTCGGCAGCAGCGTTGCTCTGATCCGCAGCGACTGTGTCCTGGCAGCTCCAGTCATCGGATCTCACAACTTATTCCAACAGAACGGAATACTGCATCCCGCATCGCACACTTCAAAAACCAGTCTGTGCCAACCATGCAATTATGTGCAATTTGAGCACGTGCACGGCTCGGGTGCTTCCAAGCATCTGTCGCGATGGCTGAGCTTTCCAGGGCCTGGCTGCAGGATTCCACGACGGCCCACGGCCCAGGCATGGCTCCCGGGGCTCCCAGGACTCCGGCTTTGAGGCGAACGTCAAGTTCCTGAAGCATTCCAGATGCCTGTGCTGCCCGGCACGGCGCTCACTGATTGGACAGAGACGTGCTGCTTGACAGCGATGGGGTCAAAGCAGCTTGCTTTACTTTCCAAGCAACGTTTGCTCAATCCCTCCGTCGCAACAACCGAGAAGGTTTCAGGCTGCCCGACAACAATAATGTGGCCTGCCTGGCCTCCTTCTTCAGCTCACCCTTCAAGACCCTCTCCGTCACCTGTCAATTGCAGCACACAACAGGGCGATGACATGAACAGCAAGTACCTCATTTGCCGAAGCCATGTCCCGCTGATTCGTTCGCAGGTCTTGCAGCGAAGCCTGACCAGTGAGAGAGCGTGACAGCAACTCCAAGATTATCAGCCATCTCCTCCACAGCTTCGAGACGGACGAAGAGCAATGTACGACGGCCCTCTTCTTCCTTGAGGAGTGCCTCAAGTCGATCAGTGACCGTGCTTGCCAAAACTAAGCCTACAGATACTACAAAGTGCCTGGAGTTCATCCGCTCGCGAGGTCTGACTGTCACTTTGCTGTAAAGCAGCCTGTCCAGACACATGACGTGCTGGTTCGACTTCAGCAAGCAGGAGATGACCTCCAGCCGTTCTCTAATGGAAGTTGTGTCCAACATGTGCTCGCTGTGGATGGCCTCGGAAGGACGTGCAAACAAGGCAGACCAGAACACTGGTCCACAAGCCCGCCAGGTGCTGGACGGACAGCTTCTCCTCAAAAACCTCGAAGCGATGCTTTAGGTCCTCTGTAAAGGCGTGGAGTTTCACACTGACACTGCTGCAGGCGCACTGTTCCCAATGCTCTCTTGCCTCACCAACGTCTTCCGTCTGCTTTCCACCCTGAACTCTCCGCTTCAGAAACCGATCCGTTGTGAGTAAACGTACGAACCAGCAAGTGATTAGCCTCCAAAGGAGTACCGGTGGTTGCGTCCTGCCGCAAACCATTCAGCGCATCTCCTGAGATTCAGGGCTCATGTGTGCGTCCGCGAAGAGAAGCCCAGAAACACAAAATGACGCAAAGCGCTGCTTGTGGCCTTCGTTTGGCGCATTTCGCAAGGTCTGCGAAAAGCGCTGCTCGAGCTTGACCTTAGCAGCTCTCCGCTTCGCAGTTCACCGATCAAGAGTCGCAGTGGCTGCAGCGGTCTGAGCTCGAAGCCGCACCAATCTCGGCCCGCAAATCTGCAATTCCTTGTCGCGTGACCTCTGAACACACCCACGTGCCAGAAGCACTGCTGGCGAGGAACGACCAGTACTGGTCTCAGTTGAATTTAGCTCTTCTTTCCGACAAATATCTAGGCCCCCTGCCTCCGTCCAGTCATCCAGACGCCGTTTGATCTGCTGCAACGGCAGTACAAGCGATCTTTGGAGCGATGAGCGATAACGAAGCTGCCGAGGCTTCGGCGTCTAGACTTGGCTTAGTCTGTTCCCATCCCCACAACTCCCCTTCCCAGACATGTGTAAGCACTTTTGGTACGGGGTCCGATCCGCCTGTCAAGCCTCGATCTGGGGGTGGGGGTTGAGGGGTTGAAGGAACTGGACGAATTAGGCGAACAATCGCGAAAGAAACGGTGGTCTTCAGCTTGCTGTGTTTCGCATCTCCCTTGCAAAAAGTTGAGGCCCCGTTCCCCCTGCCAAAGGGCCCTCTCCGTTCTGTGCGTAAGATAACCGAAGTGAGTTACCTGAACTTACATGATTGCTCATGCAAATTTCCATGACGCTCATTATGAACGCACGAACTCACCTGGGCACAACAACCTGCGCTCGGGCGTTGGGTTCAGTGCTTTTCGTTTGTTTTTTGTTGGTACCTTGTGCCTCCTGCATCCTCCTGCTTGGGGTCCCCAGGGTTTTGGGGTTATGGGGATTCGGGATTTAGCGCTTCAGGCAGTTTAGGGCTTCATTGTTTAGGGTTTGGGACTCCATGTCTTAAGGTTGGGGTTTTAGGGTGTATCCCCGGGGTGCAGTAAGGAGTCGACGGCATATGAAAAGCATACTGACCCGTGGAACCAAACAGAATCTCGTGCTAATAAAACTATTTGTACTGGTCGGCAGTCAGATACACCAAGATCTCATTCGCTTGCTTTCGAAATTAAAATCAAGTTCCGCCTCCGGCCCATATGAAATTTCTGTTCTCATTGAGCTTACCCTAGGACCCACCTGTCATGTCTTCTGCGCAGATGAGCTGCCAAATGCGCCTGGTAAGCCACTTTACTACAACATAATATCTTGCCCGTGCCCCCTGCCAAAGAGGCGCCCTGGTCTTGGGAAGCCTGCCATATCCCAGGTAAATTTCTAGGGCTTGACACTCTTTGGAAACTGCTGATCGGGAATACCTCATCGGGTTGCGACTTGGATACGCGCATGGATTTTGGGGTTTGGGGGAAACTTCCCACTGGAAGGATTGCTGCTTGGCTGCGTGGATAAAGTCTGGGGTTGTGGGGATGCTTCCAGCAGCAGACCGTTGTGACAACCACCCCCCACCACGCTCCACCTCCCTGTCCCGAAGGTTGCGAAACGATGCGCTCCACTCCGGAGCGTGAAGATTGCAGCACGCACAGCGGTTCGTTTCAATCGAAACAACAATAGAAACTGTTTCGTCTATCGCCACGACCGATTCGAAGCAAAACAGAGAGTCGTCGCAAGCTGCTTCCCGCCTCCATCATGGAAGTCTCCAAGGCTGTTACTTTCTTGATCGTCTGGTCTGAAGGGGCCTGCACAGCGCAGGCTCAAAACAGCTGTTTCTTCTCGCCCAACCACCGGACCTGAAAGGGGTTCAGTGCGTCCACCGGCAAAGGATTGACGGGGAGACGGACGGACGACCTGCGACAAAGCATGACCTGCTTTTGCTCCGACCACTCAACAATCAGTATATCCGCAAACAGCAAGCCCATATTTCAACTAAACTTGGTGTGAGAACTGGGAATGCGGCTTTTGCATTTCACTCAGCGGACCATACCCATACCCGGATGACTGCAACCTGCGGCAACTGCGGCAATCCATTCTGACGGCGGATGCTATCATGGAAGATTTGTCAAAATGCGATTGTGGTCCTGTCCATTGTTGTTTCGCAGCTTCTCAGCCGCCTCAACGGAAGGGTCCGGCAGGGCTTTGCAAGAAACTGAGACCCCGTGATGCATTCGTGAAGCTAGGCTGCCTGAAAGAACCATCGCTGCATCAGACTCTCGACCCGTAACTGCGACTTGGCCAAAACCATGACACAGACACACACACGGCTTCAAGCAAAGCAAGACCAGGCAAAGGCAACGCCTCAACGCAAGCTATCGAAAGGCACTGGAGCTTTCATAACTTGCTACACTCCTGCTGATTTATGCACGGGCATGTGCTTTTCTCTGCAAGCATTTGGTCTTTGTGCGAAGCCGCTCGCGCATGGATGCACGAAGGAGGGCGCGAAGCCATGGACTGCTACCTTGCTCGCACCACTTGTCGCAGACCTGTTTATTTCATCAAGCGCCCCGCCGGACGTGAAGAACTGAAGGATGGAATGGCTTAACGGGACAATCTTCCAGCACGAGAGTTGCTCCATACCGCATACCCCACTCAGAAGGTTGCATGCGTACGAGAAATCACGACATGCAAAGTAGGTTCTGTCTCCGGTAGGGTCCATGCTCCGTGTTCGTATCGCACCTATCTCTTGAGCAAGTGTGAGATTAGCTCAGCTGACGGCAGCAAGCAACTCAGTGCGTTGATCACGCCGGCATGCTGACTTAGCATGGGAAGTGTATCGGTCTGAATCTGAGGAGCCCTTGTTCGTCGATCAGCTTTCGATCATCGACAGTCTGAGTGCTTCCTGCCTCAGTGGTGAGATCAAGCACATTCAAGTACCATGTTGGCACAAAAAAGCGGGGGGGACCCAGGGCCCGCAGGGCCCACAGGGCCCGAGCAGCTGCGCATCCTCCTCATCTTCGGCAGATGGGAGATCCCCGCGCGCCGTCTGCCTCTTTTAGGTGGCAGACGTCTCGCATTTCGCAGATCGTGAGCGGATCTTAGGTTCCGCACCCGGTCCAGGAACCTGCAAGTATCTGCACAAACTCTGCGCACGTACAAAGATGTCTCACGACTGCTTCGCCAGCCTCCATTTCTCGCACTCTGGAGCCTTTGGCGGCGAAAGCTCTCAGGAATGGGTTTCCCTGTTCTGTCAGCACGAGCTTCAGAAGCACGGGCCACTGCAAGTCACGATCTCGCTGCTGGCGTTCTCCTCAAGTCGAGACTGGGAGGTCAATCAAATTGCTGCTTTAATCAACGTCATTCCAGCCCAGCCGGCTTACTATCTGCAAACCATCAAGGCTGCGACGATATGTGGGACCAGGCATAAAGGTGGAGCTCCCATCGGGCTTGGTCCAGTGAAGACCTTGACCGGGGGCTCGGTGAAAGGTCCAAACAGATCGGACATGCGCTCACATGCTCAGCTGTGTCAACGGCCCAAGGCATGGATGGCTGGAGCCAGGCGGACCACAAGGTCACTGCAGGGCCGGACTCATGAGCTTCAAAATCCCCAACCGATCTGACCCCCGAAAAACGGCCTGCAATGCTCCAGCTCATTCAGTGCACACTGGAAACGAGCGACCTGCCGATAGCGAAAGAATGACAAAGCAAAGGCTGCAGGCTTCATCGTAACCTCAGAAGACCGGAGACCGCTGTACTGAAGACGGTACCGATCACCCATGTCCTTGCGAGCATGTAAGCAAATGTCAGGCGATGCAGCGGTACAGTTGACGAGCCTTGAAGCCCAGTCTCCGCAAAAGCATCGCACAGGCAGGGACTGCATCGACCTGCAGCGGTGTCCGCACCAACAGCTGAAACGAGGCACAACGGAATCTGCACCTGGACAACTGCAGCAACATCGCGCCGAAGCTCCCTGTACCTGGGCCTGCAGTCAGATCCATGTGGAAGCTTTCGGAGCAACGCGTTCCAAATTGAGGAGACATGATGCACACGCGGAGTGACATGGTGCATGTTTTTCACTGGGTTCTCGGCTCCTCGGGCTTGTCGACCGTATTGCACACCGCCTCCACGCAGCCCAGCATGTCTCTGTGAGAATCCGCTCTTTGCTCTGACGATCTCTGACGTCTCTGGCCTTGACCAACGTCTCGAAGCATTTGAGGCCATTGTCGGAACCACTCTGCGCAATACTCATAACCAGCTGACCAGTCCTGGGTCAACAAGTCGGCCACAGAAATCACGCAGCTCAAAGCAAAATTCAGGGCAGCTGCGTTGTGGTGCCGCCATCCGGCAGGCCGAATGGATCTGCATTTATGCTCATGCAGCCGCTGTTCTCGCTTCAAGCGGGACAATGCATGAGCTTCTAAGACGTCTGCTGCTGCATACCAGCCTCGTCACAATGGTAACAGCTAAAGGCCTATGAAGAAGAGAGGCATGATCCATGTGCATGCGCAGATGGCGAACTCTTTGCACTCATGACGTTGCAAGCCAATCTTGAGGGACGGCGAGGACGAGTCTCAACAGCAGTAGCCGTCTGCGCTTGTGCAGTCCTCGTGCGAGATCACCTCTCCTGAATTTGTTGCACTCGCAGCTTCGCAGTCAACACGTAGCCACGCAGGAGTGCAAGTGCGGACACTGGAGATTCGAATTGTCGAACCGCCGTGTTCTCTCTTCGGAGTGAAACCGACATAAACCACCTTCACTGCCATTTCGGACGCTGACGTGCGGGACCTTCGTGATTTGTGCAAGAGACGTCTTTCTCCGCAAGTCTCACATCCTCACGCCGCCCTGTGCTCGGTTTTCGGGACCCAGCCAGTGCTCGACTTGCCACATGACCCAGACGAAGTGTATGCCTCGGAAAGGGCGGAGAAAGGGTGGGGGACTTAGGAGGGAGCGAGGAAGAGAAAGGGAGGGAGGGGACGGCGAGCGCTGGAGAGTGAGAAGAGAGGGGTAGTGGGAGAGCGGGAGGGGAAGCAGAAAGGAGACGAGCAGCATGTCTGTGGACAACTTGTGTACCTAAATATAGACAATGATATCGGCACACTCTCGGCGGCGCTCTGCCACGAGTGCTGCATCCGCAGATGCACGTGCTGGAGTAGCCACAGGACCTCGGGTTGACGAGGTGCCCTGGACTGAAAGATACAAGCCTGCCAAATGTGCATGGAATTACTGAAGACCACTTGCTGAGCTGCCAGCGCTTTGCCGTAATTCTAGCCACACTACGTTGCTTGTTTGGTGGCTGCATTGTCCTCTTTCGCTTTGCAAAGACGTCCTTGGTTTCTAGTCTTCCGTTGCGACAAGTCTTCCGTTGCGACAATTCTTGTGGCATCGAGACTATGTTGAAAAAAATGGACAGAGCTGAGGACTTCACATTGTTGCACTTCTGTCGCGAAGCGGTCGGACCAGATGGACTCGAGCCTCGCGCACCGAGCTAACCACATGCAAATCACAAGCACCGTTACTTCCCGACATGCCCTGCATGTAGGCTGCATGAAGTGGTAACTATCGTAAGGATATTGCCTTCTGGCTGATTTGCCATCACAACATCCTCGCGCGCGCTGTCATCCTGCAGATAGGTTTGGGACCAGCACAAGATCGACCCCGCATGCAATCAGACAACAACTCACAGTTGGATTATAGGTCTTTACACCTTTAGGGTGCAGGAGCACTGGTTCACCATTGGACGGGTTCGGCATCGCCTCGGTGCGGACCTTCTCAGGGCCCTCCAAACCTGACTCGGGATTCGGAGTTCACAGCCAGGATGCAGCTCGCTGAGCCTGGCCTTCCTGAGCTGGATGCCAGGCCTCCACAAGGCGGCACACAGAAAAAACTCTGCGCCCACACCTGTCCCAATCCTTGTCCTGCCAGGAGAGCGCTGTTGTCGAGGCTTGGGCGTCCCGTCCTGACCCCAGCTTTCCACGCGCAACAGCCAAGTGACCGCCGACTGGCAAGCCTCGTTTTCGCAAAACTCGGTAAGTCTCGAAGAAGCCATTGGCTCCTGACCCAAGGCGTTGTTATTCATGCCGGTGCGAAGTATGTCAAGTCTGGCTTCTCACGTGACCTGTGGTGCCTTTCTTACCTACACTGCAATCCACGTTTTCGATCAGAAACATCCGGCAGCCTTCTGCAGAGTCAGTGCTGCGACGCAGTTTCACCTGGCGAAGCTATCAACGTTGTGACAGACCTCTCAAAGGTTTTCGTTGTCAATCCGAGGCCAACGCGAGGTCATAGAACTGGCTCGCTCTGCTTCCATGGGTAGACAAACAACCTCCCGCTCGGCTTCAACTATTCACTTATGACGCACAAAGAAGAAGCCCCCACCTGCACGAAGCACTAGAGCTGAGATTGGAGAAGTCTCTGCAAATCTGGAAGAGGGCGAGCCGGTAGGTCCATCACGATGTGCTGGCACGTCTTCGAGCTTGCCAGGTGCGGGGCCTCGTTCCGTCTCAAGTTCTGCCAAGGCCGCTCCATCTGCGCATGTGCCACTGGCTTCGTCCCGATCCAAGTCCAAGGCCTCCCTGGATGGGAGATGCTCATCCAGCGACTGACGTGTACATGTAGCAGCAGGCCCTGCTGCTTGAGATGGAGCGGATGGCGAAAGCTCCTTCTTGAGGACACCTTGATCTTCTTGCTTTGAGCCCAAGCTCTCCAGCACGCCCCAGGCCTGCAATGAAATGATGCCAGTGACACACTCGCATGTGGAGCATGGCATGGGTGCAGCCTTCGCTTCCCGGCAAGAGCTCAACACCGCCATAAGATCCTCTTCCTGCCCGCCCAAGTGCAGATGTCAGAGAACAAGCGAGGAACTCATGGACCAGCTCTCGCCTCAGATTCATCGGACTCTTGGTCGACACCCGGTAGATCCTGCCGAAGGTGCAACGACGATGGGAGATCACCATTGCAAGCCCTGCCTGCGTATGACACAGCCGTTCCCCATGCACAGACTCGGCCACAACCTCGGCGATGTGGTGCTGATTGCCAAACGGCAAGTGCTCGTTGTTCTGATCTGTTTGTGGGATCCTCGTTGCAACTATTCCATGATTCAAGCTTGCCGACCGCAACTTATGGAATTGGGAGCTGGCACATGGCCATTTCACTTGCTGTTTCACATTGTTGCCGAATGCTGTGGCTTTGGAAGCCATATACACCGAGGCCAACACATAGAAACTTTGTGCACAATCTTCTGGTTTTGGCCAATGCTGATGAGGTGCGTAGCCCCCGAAATACCCAAAACAAACATGCATGCTTTTGACGTGGTTCTTAGGGTTTGAAGGGTTTGGCTTGCCACTGCCGTCGAAAATCTGCGGAAAGCTTCACTTTCTGGGGTAGTGGCAAGGACACAACCTTAAAACTGCGGGTGACAGCAGGACTGGATCCGCCAGTCAGCCCAAAACGATCGTCGTGCGACGTTTCAACGATCTCACGAAATGCAACCAGCTGGACTCGCAGACTTCTCGCAGACTGGGCAAGAAGCCGTTACGTCTGTCAGTTAAACACTGAACTTGGATGTTGCTTAAAGTTGATATGTCTATTCTACCGCGCAAAGTCCACTGCGTGGACATATCTCTGCCAGGATACCAGAACTGCAGCGCACGACCGGTTCAAGCGGACTCGTCCAATATTCCAGATGACATGCAACAGGTATCTGAGCACAAACTTGCAGATAGTTCCCAGTGCAATCGGGTTTCAAGTCGAGACAAGCCTTGGAAGTCCTCTGCGCCAAACGACATGAGCATCCACCTATGGAAGCTTTGCTTTGTGGTCACCGACCAGTGCCTGTTCCGCAAACAAGTTGTTGCGATGATGTGTCGACACGAATGCATGTGGCAAGCTCCCTGCGAAAGCAGCATCAGAGGTCGATCAACAAGGCACCCTTGTGGACAGTTTTGCTTGCAATATCTTGCAATACGTGCGATGCGCAGTGCGAGACTTCTGCAGCTTCGCCGCATGCACGCTATCACTATGAGCATTTGGACGTGCAGCTACAGTGAGAGGATAGCCATGCGCTCCAACGTGTATGTGTATGTATATATACATACTCACCGCACACACTCACAAGCTTATGAAAATCACGCAGCCATCTTGCCATACATCATCCGACTGAGCCATCGGCTGGGAAGTCCCACGTGACCTCATCCGTTTCGGTGTTCCAGTAGTACGAGTCGTCCTGGCATCTTACCAACATTTTTCAACACATGTCAAGGCCGTCAAGAAACAAAATCATCTCTGGCGGAGAGGCCTCATACGGGACCCGAACCTCTCGTTGCACAAGTTTCTCGTGGGAATCCAGATTGAATAAGAAGTGAAGAAAACAGTGCGACAACAGTCAGCAAGCGCACCCATGGAGGAGGCAGCGATTGAGGTTTGTCCGGCGGAATGGCGATCTCAGGCCGAAATCGCAAGGGATTGCCCATAAAACATGTACTGCTGCACCTCTGCTTTTGGCACCGGCTGACCCGCTTCATCGTGACAAACACCATCCTCCGACCTCAGAACAGCGGAGTTCCCGTGCTTCCTTGGCAGAGACAGCCCAAGTCTCTGGCTGAGGTCGCGTTGCCGGCAACACCGGATCTGCTGGCTCTGACTCGGCCGCCTCAGCCTCCTCGGCCTCCATCACCTCGGCCTTCGTCGACTCCGGCTCTGGCGGCGATTGCCGCCTCCACGTGCAGAAAAGCTCGGTCAGATCGCTCTGAGGACGCGAACCCCAGGCGCCCCCAGGCCTCGCCGGGCTCGGCTCGGGAGCCGCGTCCGCGGTCTTCGCGTCCGCGGTCTTCGCGTCCGCCCCGCTCCCTCCGCTCCCTCTGCTCCGCCCACGGCTCCGGCTCTGCACGTTTCGGCGATCGGCCCACGGCTCTGCCGGGCCTGGGCCCGGGCCTGGGCCTTCTTCGCTTTCCCTCGGTCGGAGTTCGTGGAGACCTGACTCTTTGTTCAGGTCCCTACTCGAGTTGCTCGAGTGCTCCTCTGGCGCTTCTCCTCACTGCGTCTGCTGCACGGCTTCAAGACTCGGAACCCATCTGAGGCTCTCACGCTTCCTTCCTTCGGCGGTGTCTTGCTTTGGACACGGCCCCTCCGGATGCACCTCAGAGCTCACTACTGCAAGAACCAGTGTGTCGGGGTATGTATATATATATATATATATTTATTTATTTATTTATTCATTTATTTATTTATTTATTTATGTATCCCAGCTGAACATGCTGTTTTTGTTCGTTCGTTGTTTCGGGTCGGAGCTCTGCTTGGTGAAGCACAGGTTCAGCGGAAAAAGGCTCAAGGTGAGCGGATCGTGGAAAGTGGAGTGCGAGCTCTGACAAGAGATCACGAGACCGGACAATGAACGGACAGAAATAGCGTCGGTGAAACACGCATCGGCAACAGCCGGGCAAGACGTAACTTGTGAAGGAGGATAGCACACATATCAGATCCCGTGTAAGTTTTGTCCGCAAGCTTAGCAGTTGCAATGCCATGACACGATGCCTCATATACACGGACAGAACCTCACCGTGGACCTGGAGCATTCTAGCGTGAGGTTGTCAGAAGCAGTATGAATGTATGAACTACAATCCGCACTTGACGGCAGCCACGGAAGCACGAGCACCAGCCGCACCAATCCGATAACAATGGGGCGCGGCGGTCCGAAGCCCCGGAAATGGTCCCCGAAATTTTGTATCTGGGTTAAAGGATGCCTTTTGTCCTAGATCCCTAGATTCTAGATCCTCTGCCTTCAACCCGATCTTGCACCTGTCTCACAAAGCATCAGCAACAAAAGTAGCACTCACGAGGCGTTTCCTGGTTCAACTTTTTCAATGTTCCTTGCTCATCAACTCCCAGCCTGACTCGACACATGCTGGGCCGGGAGAAAAATCCCGAACCGACAATGCAAACAGGCAGATCACAGCTGCAGTGAAGCCGCACCTTGTTGGTGAATCTCCGCGTCAGCCGTCTGACAGCTGATGCCGCTCCACCCATCTGAAAGTGGCCTCCGAAAGGGATTTACTGAAGGTCAGGAGCAGAAGGGAAGGCTCAAGCCGCATGAGCATGGGGCTGGCCTCTACCAGATTCAATCCAATGGGCCGCATGGAAACGATTCCAATTAGACACGAGTTTATTTTGTCCCAGAACTGAGAGGGCTGCTCATCTTGGACTATACGCCAAACTGAGGATGCATGTGTCCGGCTCACAAGCCGCAAATGCACTGTGTTCAAGTTCACACTTCCGTGGAGCCACGCTGCGAACTGCAATGTGGCCAAGTTGCAGAAGATGCGGTGTATGTCCAACTCACCAAGTTACAAATCAAAGCTAAGCACCCTCAAAGACAACCATGAGCCAATACGTTAGCCCCTCACATTTACGTCTCTTATTTTCTCTCATGGAACCGCCTCCGCACGTGTGCCTGCGACCGCAACTCCAAGGGCGTTACGGAATGGCTTGGCAGAGAATTGGCATCCTCTCAGCGTGGCCGACACGTGGGACGGCACAGTGACGGGCGTGCCCCGATCAAGCTGAAGACGGTGAAAGCCAAGTCCCAAGCACCTTGTATCTGTCTTCGAAGGGAAGGCCTTAGGGAAGTAAAGGCGTTAATCGTCTCAGAGAAGTGCCAGTAGGGGCGGCCACAGGCGCGGAGGTCGTTCCGGAAGGCTATAACATACTATCAAAAGAGATCCTGATCAAAAGACTTCTTCTAAAGCACTTCATCCAGAAGAGAAACCAAGCACATCGAGGAGCCATTGCGAAAAGGCTGCGGTGAGGGGACCCCTATTAGCTTTAGTCCTGGGCTGCACCATGCTGCACCGGACGCCCGGAAGGGAGCAAACCGGGGGAGCGACCACGCTGGCGGAGGAGATCGGCGGACGAGGCGGAGGTGCGAGGTAGATGCCGGAAATCCAGGGTCGAGCCAAAATCCATGAGGCGACGGCCCTGATGAGCAAGCGAGCGGCAACCGAAGCGGAGGCTTGAGGGAAGGCAAGAAGGGAGCGAAGCCGAGTCTTGCACGAAGAGACTTTGGGCGAGCCAGCACGGAGAAACAGGCGGACCCAGTTGGCCGAGCTTCTTGGCAGGCGCACAGCCTTTGCGAGTTCACGGGGATCCGAGCTCATGCAGGGAGACACAACATGCAGCTCTGCAATTCTTGTCCTTCGTAGGGTCATCGGCTGTGTTGAGCCTCGTCGGCGCGAAATGCAGAGACGGGCACAGTCCTCCGGCACAGAGGATATGGCGGCAGCTCTACGAAGCGAGGGGGCAAGGAGTCGAGCAGTTGACCTCCTTTTCCTGCGAGAGCCCAGCACAGCGCTGGAGTCGGTAAGAAGGCAGAACCTGATAACGCCACCTTGAAGACTGTGAGGTCCTTGTAGAGCTGCAGAGACTCGAGGACGTTAATGTGCTTGCGCTGCCTCCATTTCCAGGCACTCTCGGCTCGCCAGTGCGCAGTCAAAACGCATCGTTGAGGACGACGTTCTCGAGTCCAACAGTTCACATCAGGCTGGCTCTACCTGACCCCTCCCCCTCCCTCCCAACCCTCCCCTCCCCCCCTATACTCTCCAGCCCCCACTCAGGAGGGCAGTCTCGTGACAAAAAGCAGGCAGTCCAGGCCCTCACCTATGGTGTGCGCAGTGACACCTCGGGTCAAGCTCTGAGCAGGGAGTCCAGACGGAGACCCAAGTCGAGTCAGTGGAAACAGGCGACCGAAAGAACAACCTCGAAGGCAGTCAGTAGCCCGACGCAGCCGGTAAAGCACGGGTGGTTGAGAAGTCCAGACTTGCGAGGAAGGAGCACAATGCATGGGATTCCATAGCCGGCACACACCCTGACGAGAAGGAGGGTTCGCAGAGCGAGCCGCTGGTTTTGCACAAGGAGAAGTCCGACGACCCAGAGCATGGTCTGTGTTGTATGAGCCTAACAAACACTAACGCTTGACCTATATGAGACCAAAGAATTCAGACACTGCATTCATATATGTATGGCTTCTCTCATACTGGCGCAAGTGGTTCTTCAATGGCTAAAGCTGGACTCTCTCAGCGCGTACAAGAGCATTCAGCTGCTACTTGTGCTAGGCAAGCCATTAGGACAAACCACCTTGAGTATTCCCACTGGAGTAGAGCTTTTCAGGCCCCCCCCCTCAGTTGTAACCTGGGCGTGTAAATCCTCGCAAAGGTGCAGGCCTACACGCACGCAGGAGCGATACTGTGCTTGGACCGTGAGCAGAAAGCACGGATACATGCATGTGACAGGTGAAACAGACAGGCACCTGGATGTGCAATATTCAGTGTTTCAACCGGGAACCCCACGTGGCAAGCTTGAGGCCTTGCTGGAAACTACACAGTTGCTTGGGATCATGCTGAGAGACCCACGCAAATCTCGCTTTCGTCTGCGGGGTCGACTCGACGGCAACGCTCCACAAGAAAGGGTTGTGACGTGGTGGACCATTCCTCCACCAATGCAATGCTTCAGGTCAGGTCGAGACACAGCTCCCGGATGATGTTCTTGTTTCCGAAGCCTACAGCCTTTCGTGCGACATGCTGTACAGCAAGGATGCACAAGTTAATCAGTGATGAACATCCGCGGCTCCAAATCACATCCTGCACGGGTTTATCCACTGGCAGCGAAGACATGCAGCGATCTGACTGGATGGCTCATCTCAGGACTTTGAGCTGCTTGGCACAAGCATCCTGAGCATTCCGGCAGTTCGCAGCTTACCTTATCATTCCTACATTGCTGTCAAGAATCGCAAAAACAGCGGTAAAGCCATGCAACGCTGTCTTTCTCACCTGCCGCAACAGTGATGCTTCATTGCACACAAGCCCCGTCGCAATCAAAGCAAAACGCCTCCGCACGTTCGCCCAACTCTGCTGCTGGGAGCACCAATCCCGGCCTTGAAATTGTGAAATGAAATGAAGGCCCAGCAGCTTTCACTGCCGAGAAGACGACGAGCCAATCTCCCCGTTGCAGAAGAAGCCACTCACCCGCCTCGGAGAATTCATCCGAACACTTCAAGTCCACACCTTGCCTGAGGTGCTCTGAGGAGAGCTCTGCCCCAGCTCTTCTCCCAAAGCTTCTTCGAGCGCTCGTGCATCGACGTGCTGTCGCCCATAGAGCCCCTCGAAGAGCGCGCATGGGTAGTTCTCGAAATTAGGGGTCCCTTTTAGGGTCCTCTTTATAAGGGTTCCGCACTATATTTGGCATCTAAAAAAGGGATCCTAATTTAGAGAACTACCAGCATACACGCTGAACACTCCAGGCGCCCCCCGGGCCGGCCTTGCCCCGTCCGTTGCAAGTAAAGAGCAGAGAGCCGATGGGCTCCTCTCGAAGCCGGCAAAGCATTGATGAAGCCGCAGATCCCCCAAGGCCCAAGGCCTTGCCTTGCTACCACTGAAGGTCCGCTCTAACCTTCGACCCAGGATTGCCGCACACACCCAACAATGTAGACCAATGTGAGCTTAGGCTGCTGGCCGATAGCGTTTCAACATCAGCTTCAGGTCGCTTTCAGCTGAGTCTTTGTCCCGAACGTGGAAGCGAAGGGGTTGGCCCTGCTGTGAGCACTGTCGGAATAACACGCAACATCCGTTCCAGGCCCTGCATCGATGCACTAGCGAAAATTATCTGTGGCTCCATCAAGTTTTGAAGATCCTGCATGCCTCTCGCTTCGCTTTTACTCTCACCCGGCCTCAGCAATTCCAGGCCCAAGCCTGAAGCTTCCGTTGGGGGTCACCTTGCACATCCTAGCCCCTCAACTGTCCTGCAAGCTGCCTGCAAGATGTGCAAGCTGCAGGCACTGCAGGCCTCCGCGATGCCACGGATGAGCCAGTCTCCATCATCAACCTGACGCTCGATTGAAAGCATAATTCGCCTCCACAAATGCCTTGGCTTTGAGATCTGGGCTGAGGTTTCGCTCTCGCCCTGACCTCGTTGCTGCCATGTGGCTCGCAGTTTTAAGGCCCATCATATTTCCAGCCAAGGTACGGCCCAAGCCCACAACTAAGTTTGTCTGCATTTTCGCCCGAAGCTCCTTCATTGGTGCGACTGAAGACAGTCATCATATCCGACATGTAAAACATCCTCATCCACAGCGCTGAAGATCAGAAGGAGAGCCTCCTTGGCTGGCCTCCGGGGAATACCGCATGATTCTCAATATGAAGTCTTACTCACTATTGCCCACTCTCATTATCACAAGCGCCTTCATTTTCGTTCACTCTTGCTCTCATGCTGATCCTAATCAATGCCACTCGCACTGATTCTCACTGTCACTCGCAGCCCTGCTTGAGAAGAACTTGCGTGAAATACGGTTCGAAAAGGCCTTTCTCTTCCCACACGGCCTCTCTCAAAGGTGACCAGCACATGTGTCCAGATGACATCTCTCACCGACCGCTGCTGTCCTAGCTGTCCTAGCTCTTTGGTCGTTGTGACTTCTCGGCTGATCGGATGCTTGCAACCCCTGAGCTTCTGCCTGCCTGGTTCACGACCCCTCAAGGCAGAGATCAAGTCACGACGTGACAACCTCCACCGGCAGACCGAGCTTTGAAGGCCAACGGCCGGGACCCTGCGCACTTGCAGAATGGGTACTGCTACTTGCAGGCACCCCGCTGTTCACAGCCGAGGACTGGCTTTGGAATGTTTACCCTATCAGTTGTCTCGGCTCTAGACGGCTCTCCCCACGACAGCTAACATTGTCCCCTCCCGCCAGGATGCCCGAGAATCCCGGCGACTAGCGGAGGTTCTGCCGCGCACGCCGGAAAGCTCTTTGACAGGACTCGCGATTTCGTCAACACTGTTACCATGTTCGTCATTGAATCTGAAGCTGCTTATTCCCCCCGCCAGGGGACCTGGTCATACCGTGGTCATATCCCCCATGGCAGAAGAGTTTTCAAGGAAGGAAAGGACGTTGCTCTCTGTGGTCAAGGGACTCCCTGGCATCGTACGCACTCCATGGTTTGAAGAGCACTCATCTTCTTGCCCTCACTGGCTAGTGTGAAAAAAGCCGTCCCTACAGAAACACTTTGGCAAAACTTGGCACTTTTATGTTGCACGCAACTACGGAATGCCTTCCTCCAATGCCGATGCAAACGTCGCCAGAAGGCGAGACATTGCTTATCCGAACCTTGGCGGCGATACATGCTTCTAACGGCTGAACCACGAAATTCGCCTGTCCGAAACTCATCGCACAAGGTTTGTATTGCTGCCTGCGGCTGGTGCTTTTGCACTTGAGCCCCGTGTCCCTGGACTCCCCGTAAACCCCCTGCCTCCCAATCAGCCGAGCTTCGCTCCCGTGGGCCTTGTTGTCGCCTCTACTACCCAGTCGCCTGCATTCTCGTCGGCCTTCCTGCTTTCCCTTCGCCTCTCCTGTCGTTTCGCCGCTGGCACCGTAAGGGAAGTGTTTCCGCACATTGCCGTCCGTCGCAGACTTGGCAAGCTGAACATGCCCAGGCGCACAGCTCTGAAAATCTGCTCAGGCCCTGATACAGAACTCTACTGGACTCTGGACATTGGTTGTTCTCTGAATTTAGGTTCCTTTTAGGATACTCGCTATGAGGGTGCCGCCCGTACTATGTTGGGGACCTAAAAAGAGTCCGAATTTAGAGGTCTACCCTCATGCGTCCGACTTATGTGAGTAAACCGTTACGCTGTGCCAGGGTTTGCATGACCTGGAGCTGGTTCATCTGGTGACTCTGGCATTACAAGATCCGCCAGGAGCCTAAGGTGGGTTGGAAAACAATTTAAGCATTCCGAGATTGTGTTTGGAAAGCATTCTGGATTTATAGAGTGTTCAGGACGGTATGCCACGATTGGGGCCTTCTAGGTCCAACTTACTTGTCGCGGGCTTCAGGGCATGCAAAGCAGGATTGAATGTGTGTGTGAGTGAGCCCATGACTGACTGCTCCTGTAGCACCGAGGAAGTGGAGGTGGGCGGTTCCAGAACGCTTTCGGGAGCACCATTGGCGCACGGAGGCTCTGCGGGTACACTTTTGGAACGCTTTTTGGAACGCTTTCTGGAACACTTTCTGGTGGCTCGGGCCTGGGATAAACGTCCAACAAGCGTTCCAAAAAAGCATTCCAGAAGCCTTCCAGAAGCGTTCCAGAAAGCCCGGCAACCACCCCCAGCACGGAAAGGGCTCCATGCCACCAGACCCGAACTGAGTTAGGTTCTCCTCCTGCGTCCCCTCCGAAAGTGCATTGAGTGCATCATGGCTTCTGAATTGCATGGCATGATGTATCGGTAAAACGTCTTGGCTCCGAGCTGCAGGGCCTACTCCCAAGCAGCCCTGACACACCACAGTGTGAACCTTCAGTACCGTTCTCAGTTCTGAAAGAATGCCCTCTTGCTGGGGTGCACTCGGCTGAGAAAACCGCATCCATCTCAGTGAGCAGAAGCCTGTGACCGGCAAAGATCGCCAAATCTGTCGGCAATAATCGTAGATGCTGCATGTTACTGGGTTGTCTTGGAGCCTGGCCCACAGACTCCCTTGCTCAAGAGCCGGGCTTTATTGCCTATCAGTCTCGGATGTGCGCTTCGCAGCACAGTCTGTTAAACGGCCTTTGGAGCAGATGGCCATCGAGGGCATGAAGGAGGACCGCCCGTCCGACCCCACCTCACCACAGTCAAGGTCACACAAAGACTGAAAGACAAGAACAGCTCAGAGCCTGCAGCGCAGCGGTGATGCCGCCCGCTTTGGGGACCTCTGCTACGAAAAAAGTCGCCAAATATATGGCGTTAAGATCCATCGCACCTTGGGAAAACTTTCGTCCAAGCTTTGCCTGACAGGGCAGATGCTGCAGGAATCGGTGTGCACTGAAAGCAGAATCAGGTTCGGACATGATGTCGGGAATCGGTCCAAATGGATCCGCAAGCAGAATCATAGAGCGGACCTCTCCACTGGCTGCCTCAGAGGTACTATAAATAGTACCAGTACTCCGGGCACAAATCCCGATGACACGAGTCAGCAGCATCCCCGCTGGACTGCAAAACGTATCTGACGGCAAGCATATACGCTGTATAATACGTCTGTCAACATGGATACTTCTTGCTGCTCATCATGATTACTTCTCTCTGCAACCTGAGGCTCTGAAGGAAAGGAGTGGTGGCAGATTACCAATCACTTACGCCCGAGGGGACGAAAGCTCCAACGCGAAGGCAATCTGCAGCGGTTTACAGTTGCGGTAGGTACAGTCTGGCGCTGTTCAGCAGCGTCCGAGACCAAAGGCCGCGCCGAAACGCCAACATCATGAACATCATGGGTGCTTCGTTCCTCCTATTTCCCCTCTTCGAAGTCATCACCCCTAGCCCCTGAAAAAGAATTCGAGGGGTGATCTCGGTTTTCCCAGTCGGGCATAGCTCACTGAACCCTAAGATTTTGGAACCGATTTAGAGTTTCTTTATCAAGAAACTCGTCGGAAGGAGCTTTCGTGATGATCCCAGAGGGTCTCATTGCCCGGGTGGCGTTTCCGAAAATGTTTGTTCCATTTCGCTCGCCTTGTCACTAGGCATGGCCTCTCGAAGCCTTCAGACACCTGTGGCACTTTGGCACCGGAACCCAAGCTATTAAAACTTCGATCGTGCTGTGATGCGAAAACTACGTAAGCTCGGACTGTAGAAGCTAGATCGGGAGGTCTCTGTTGTATTTTGTTAGCTGCGGTTGACGGTCCGTCACTCAATCTCACGATGCGAAAGAGCTCCCCCGAAAAAACTGCTTAGATTCTGGCCATACGATTCAGGAGTGCCAGGTCTCCTTCAGCCTTGTCAGATGAACGATGCAACGAACAATTGACTTGCGACTAAGAACAGGACGTTTGCTCCAAGGAAAAAAGGCACCGCCTTGGGTAAATTTCGCAGCAGCTTGCAGTCTTAAGGCCTTGCGCGATATTTAAGGCTCCGGCACCAGCGCTTCGCACCACCGCAACAGATAGCACAAAGCCAGCCTCAACCTGAAACAACAAAATCCCCATCACAAGTCCTGAGTCCCACACAAGCTGCCTCGCAGGGCTGCCGATGGCCTCCGGCATATTCCTCAGGATCAAATAAGGACACGTCCAAAACACGGCGCTGTCACGGCCCTGGAGCTCAAGATCCTGGCAGAAGCCATCTCACCTGACACGATCCCACGTCCTCTTCAACCTATCACCTGCCGCACCAGCTGCCTGTTGTTTGGCCAATGGCGCCTGCACATGCACCGCCCACCTTAACAAATCTCGAGTTTCTGCTGCTTTCGGAACACCGAAGTTGAAAGGAAAGACGCGGACTACATGTTCCACGTCCAGCCTGCATTCATGACCACAACACACCCACATCAAAACTGCTTGCAGTGGTACAGGCGGGAGTCTCGCCTTTGTTGGACTGCTTCCAGCCTTGGCGGAGGCAAGCCACGCCAAGCGCGTGGTCGGGTGTGCCAGAAGAAGGGTAAATTGTGCCAGAGAATGTCGTCACATCGAGTCCGACGTCTCCAGCACCATCAATGACTGCTTGCCCGAAACGCACTGCAACAAAACATATGAGTTCCAGCTCTCGGCAGTTGTCTGCCCCGTCATGCGTTCACTCACTGGCATGACCGCGGAACCGCTCAACAGAAGAATAAGCAACGGCTCATGAACATAATATATAACTTGTTCAGGCTGGTAGATAGACGTCTGGACACTTCACATGTCTTGACATCGTTCTGAGCTTTCAGGATGTCACCGCATGGAAGAGCTGGACGTGTCACAGGATGTTCTGGGATCTCTGAGGGTCTGGCACAGGTGCCATGCCCTGAGCCTGATCGACCTCACTTGCCAACTCTTACGGGCGTGCATCCACTGCGCCCACAGGTTTCAGGCGGACCAAATTCTGATAAGGTTGAGGGCAGGGCGTACAGTTCGCTAACGAAGACATACGCAGCCTCGAAGCCAGTTCCAGCCTGGACTTGGAATGCAGGCAGCTACAACGACCAACAAATTTCGCTCATCAGCAAAGGACGGCACTTCAGCTGCAACCTGCTGCAAACTCTTCTGATCAAACACAACAGAACCAGCACACAACTGCACTCAATACAGTTTGCCTCTTCCACAGCATCCTCCCAACGTGGCGCCATTGAACAGCACGAGATAAAGTCTGCTTGAACCTGTGTGAGTCAAGAATTTCAGTGGGTCAGACTGCTCTGACCAGAACCGAGTGCAACTATTCATATTCGGACCGACTGGCCTCTGTCTCAACTGCGCAGGCCGCAGTTCTACAGGTCGATCTGCCGGGCAAGTGGGAGCCATGATAAAACCCGAGAATTGGCTGTCCAGTTCCCTGAACTCATTCCTGAAACAGACCATGCTGAATGCTGAGACGCGGAAGCTCTGCCAGATGGACTGAATTCCAAACGTGCCTCCGACGACTTCGGAGGGACCAAAGCGTGCACGAAATCGATGAAAGTGCAAAAACTTTCGCTGACCTTCGCACCTGCTCAAAAATAGCTCAATTACCGTCTGTGAATCTTACCTCAGCAGAAGGAGATTGCTAAGAAGTGAACGCCGAGAGCTCGTCTTCTGCCGGTCCAGGCTTTTCTGGCAGCGCCCTTGGCGACAGCCTGAAACTATGACACATTAACGCTGATGTTGCATTTACAAGTACCGACAGAACATCAAGCCAATCCTGAAAGTAGCTTGCAGCTTGGGATGCTGACCAACTCCGCGCATCTGACTCCAGGACTCCCCCACACCTGTCGAGATAAGGACCTTAGATGGAAACACCTGACAAATTGAATGCCTCATGATACAGGTTTGCTGCTGCGAACCGAGAACAAGCCGATGGCAGTGGAGTTTCAAGCGTTGTTGCTGCCTCGGTACAAGCATTCGATCAGCAACCCTTCATTCTTGCACAAGACTGACAATCGGTGCCAAGTGAACATAGTGGTCCTGTCGAGGTTGGCAACAGATATGTAGGTTCGACGCCATTGACATCATCACCAATTGCCCCCACGACACGAGATGCGAAACAGTAATGCCGAAGGGAATGTTTTGGATAGGTAAATCTACGTCTAAAAGCCAACTAGCTGAGCTCACGCCAATCAGCTGCCTATGTGCAAAGTTTGAACTAAATTACTTCTGTCCACGACGTTGCGTCATTGACAAGCTGTCTGCGTTGCAAATCGAATGAACCATCAAGTTGGCATCGTGTTTGTAATGGCAACAACAAGCTGACTGCGAAGCCGAAACATTTCGGAAGCCGCATGAGGGAGAGCGGCATTCAGGCCGCGGAGGCGATCGTGGCGGGAGGCGCGGCGGCAAGGGTGAGGAGCGTGTCCGAGAACCAGACGATGCTGGCCCTGCGAGGCGGCGGCGACTGGCTGGACAGGACCCTTCGCATCCCCAGGCGGCCCCCCCACCGGACGAGGTGCCGGCCCCTCAGATCATCGGAAGGCCCAGCGAAGTGGAGCCCTTGTTGGAGCGGGCGGGGCAGCGGGCAGGACATCGAGCGGTTCGCTTCCCAGCAGCTCGCGGAAGCGGAAGCATCGGAGGGCTTCGCAACCGCTGCGGAGGCCGTGGCGGGAGCAGCGGAAGCGGCAACCGCGGCAGAGGCCGGCACGGGAGCCTTGGCGCTGCTGGGCGAGGGAGTCCTGGCGACGGCGGGCACGGTGGGTGCTGCGGCCGGCGGCCTGGCTGTCGCGGGAGCAGGCGCTGCCCTGGTCGGCACGGCGTGGGCCATCGAAGGAAACCCCCTTCGGCCTCAACAACGTTCCCATCCCCGTGTCCTCCGGCAGCGAACGGTCCCGGGTCAGCCGCCAGTCCCGCGGCGACCGGGGGCCCCTGGGGACCCAGCCGTCCTTCGACGCCCTTCGTCAGGCGAGCGAACCGGAAGCTGCATAGCTATGTAGTAAAGCAGTGATGGAGCAAGTGACGCAAGCCGTCAACGACGAGCTCGTCACCAGCCTAGACTACAAGCTGGCTACGGGGAATACCAACTACATCCAGTCCCGAAAATCGGTGCAATATTTTCCGAGTTCCCCGAGAACTTTTACTCCGAGTACGTCGCGGGTATGTCGCATCCCCATCACGTCAGGCATGGATTTCGTCGATCCAGAGTCCGTAAAGTTGGCGTTTACCTTCAGAAACACGGACGGCTCCAGTGACATGCTGTGCGGGTCGCCCGACCCCAGCTGCTTCAT